TTCGGATAGAAGGGCTCGTGGACAGACCGGTCGATCCGATCGAGCGTCACGATAAAAGGGAGGAGGAAGAGGAGGAGGAGGAGGAGGAGGAGGTTAGAATCGGACAAACGGAAGTCGATCTCTTTCCACGCTTTCTCCTCCGTCGTCTCTCTGCTTTTCTTACGTATCCTTTCGCCTTTCCCGCATCTTCTCGCGCTTTCGTGGCTCGCGCGCGCCACCACCAACGAGAATCTTCTTCCTTCTTCTTCTTTCCGCTTCTTCTATTTCTTCTCCTCGCCTCCCCCTCCTCTCCTCTCGCTTCTCTCTCTCCTTTTTTTCTCTCCATCCTTTACTCTTGGGGTTCCCCCCCCCAATGCAGGCAAAGAATGCCGAGAGAAAAATATCCGGAGGGGGAGATCACGACGGATCCCCCCGCGAATCTCCTATAAATTATCGTTTTGCCGTCGAAACGGAGGTAATTTTCATGCCACTGCCCAACGAAAACGTAAAAATCGGGACAAAATGAATATTTTTCCTTCGTCGAGACGAAATTAAATCGAATCCGGCGGAGGATTAAAACCCCATTCTTTACGACTTTGAGGAAGCATCGGACCGCGACGAGAGAAAAATATCGAACAACCTACGATTTCGTTGAGATTGCGTACGTGTGCGTGCAACTATTGGAAATTTTACTCGTTTTTTTCTATCGTTACGTAAAAAAAAAAAAAAAAAAGAATCTTCTTTTTCTCGTTCCACGATTTTCCGCGCGATTTTCTCCAAAAAAAATTTGCCACGGTTGAAACGAAAGAAACACGAAGAAAGAAGGAAGGAATGGAGGAAGGGAAACTCGAAATCGGGACCTCTTCTCACGCTCTTGTCACCAAATCGTTACGCTAGTCACACTCGTTCAACCTTTCTCTCCCGCGCACGATGGGAGAGAAAACGAATATTTGCGTAATCGATGCGATGCGTCTCCTCCACCCATTTGTCTCGGTGTCGTTTAACGGTTCGCGATTACGGGATTACGCGATACAAAAACACACGTTTCTCGATCTCTGTGTTAAGAATCGCTCCAAGATATCTTTTCTTCGTTCTTTTTCCCCTCGACGAGTCAAGATTTCGTATTTTACCCCTTCCCATATTTAAATACAATGACGTTTTCGTTTGCTCAGCAATGGAGATTGATGAAGTCGACGACGATGATGTTGATTATAATCTGAGTCCTGACGCTTCCGGAAACGATATTTGCAATATTGGAGGAAGCGGCGACGAAGGCGGAAAGGACGAACTGCTTCTGAAATTGCAACAATACGTAACGTCGGACGCAAACTTCACACGGTGAGTCTACTCATCCCTTTGTTCATCTTCTTTATTTCTTTTTTCTTTCTTTTTTTTTTTTTTATTAGCGCGATAACGGTACGGCGTTGTAGTCGTAAACGCCGCTCGTGCCAAAATTTTCCTCGATACGTCTCGAAATCTCGAAAAATCTTCCAACACGACCATCCGCTTATCTGTATTTATATCCGTGTTCTTTACGTACAATACGGACAAGTTGAAGAGTGTGACCGTATGACAAGAGCGAAATACGAGCGAAATACGAAACAGCTTGCTCCCCTTGTCTCGTTTGCATGGAAGAGCGGAAAAAACGAAGGATATAAAATTGATCGGCACGGTGAACGAGCACGTTTGTTAACGTTGTTAACCCTCCCCCCCGAATCGCATTAACGCGTATAAATATATATGCTATATGCTGCTCCCCTTTATCGTCGTGCAGATAAAAATGTACTTACTCGCTTTTCGAACGTTTCTTTGAAATTTCTTTAACCTCGCTATACACCCACCGCCGAATATAACGCGAAATCCAAATGCGAGACGAAACGTATTTCCATTGACGCGCCGAATCGTTCGAAGAACACTCGACGTTTAAAGGAAGGAGAGAGGAAAATTGTCGAAACGTTATATATATATATAAGTATGTGGAACATCGGCGTACACGATACAAGGAGAAAATGTGATGTACCACGTAAGCAGACATTGAATAAGACCATGATGAAAGAAACGCTTGCTCGTTTTCATGCGGAGAGAGAAAGAGAGAGAGAAAGAAAATCTCTTTCGAAGCATCGGTGACTACTACGCTATACAACGTAACGCCCGAGTCCTCTCGTGTAGGTTTCGCTTTTTCCGAGCATTGGGCCGGATGCGCCGTACCCAATACGAAAGAGAGAGAGAAGGGTGCGTCCATAAATTGTCGAAGCGCCGGTAGTCGACGGTCGCTGTTTCTTCTTCGTACGACGAATCTCTCGCGTTGCTTCCCAACCTTCTCCTCCTCCTTCTCCTCCACTTCCTCTCAACTTTCGACTCGAAAACGGCCCCTCGTCGTTTTTCCACCCCTTTCCTTCCCCCCGTTTTGCATCCACTTCGCTTCACTCGCGGTAGCCCAAGACCTTGGAGACCTCTCTGGGTCTTCTTTAGGGACAACGGAGGAAAGAAAAAGCGGATTGAATTCGTCTCTGAACGTTTGCTAAACGTTGCTTAACCATCGTACTACGTAAATGAATTCGTATCCCTTCCTCCCATTCGGAAGTGGAAGAATACCTTAAAGCCTGTTGCTAGTATCAACGAATCGTAAGATGTCGTTTCACGATTACGTATCTAATTTCACGGGTAATTGGGGCCCAATCGCGGGAATTTGATATTCGGTAGGAAGTTATATATATATATTGGGAAAGAGAGTGGTACTGCTATCGATACTACTATTACCCGGTGGCTAAAAACGAAGGTTTAAAATGGGGAACGTAACGACGACCTAGAAGATACGGAGGCAGAGCAGAGTCACTCGAGATTACCTAGCGTGGAAAGAACTACTACGATCGGACGTGACGGACCCTAGCCAAATATACACGGTGCGTCAGCGTCGCGGCGCGCGGCGTCGCGTCCTCCCTTCCTGCACCGACCAACTGCCGGGCGCCTCGTTTGAGGTCAACGTCATGCGTTTCTCCTCTCTCTCTCTCTCTCTCTCCTTCCCCCGCTAACGTTTCGGATGAGTGAACTTTGGAACGTGCGCTCGGTTCACCTATGAGTGAAATAGATCGTACGGTAAAATCTGACGTCGACCTCGCGGGGAATCGCTCGTGTTTCTTTTTCTTTTTTTCTTTTTTTTTTGTCTTCCATTATATAATAATTCTTCAATCTCGAGAACGAAAAAGAAAAATCGAAATCTTCGATCTCTAATTATCCATCTTCGTTGAAAGAGGAGAACCGTTCGAGTATATATACACACATTGTATAATGTCGCGATTTTGCCGCGATTTCGAGTCTGCTTAATTGACACGAGTGATTTATGGACACGTTGTGGCGCGTGCGAGCGCGATACGAGCCGGAACGGAACAAAGGAGCGGAGAGAGTATCGGTATTTCTCGTTCGATTCAACCCGATCTTGATCTCGCGGCGCGGAAAAACATGGTTCGAGATCCGTTCGCCGAGTGGAAAAGATGGGAGGATGGTGAGGATGGCGGTGCAGATTTCCCGTGATGGTGGACCGTTTTCGGCATGTGCCAAGCGCATGCCGAGACCGAGATGTAACGGTCAAAAACGCGTTTCGTAACCGCTCTTCCATATGCTCTCCGATTACAACGTGGGATTTCACGTGCAATTAGAAAGTTTTTTTCTTCTTCTTGGTTTCTTCAGCGGAAAGATGGTATCTTCCGATGCGCTTTGCGAGTTTATCGAGTCGATCGGACAGGAAATTTGCGCAATTCTATAGAAACACACGCGAATGCGATACGCGCGTGGCCAATGTTGCATCGTATCGTGTCGAAACAAGGATCGAGTCGAGTGGGAGATCGATCGGATCGATATCCAGCCCCCACTTTCGATCGAAAAGTAGCACGAATTTTCTAGACAATCATTTCTGTACACAATAGCAGCGTATTATCTCATATTATTATTTTATACGAATATTATTCGAATCGAACGAATCGAGGAGTTTGCAACTGGTAAGCATAATTTAATCACGTCGTTAAGTTTATCCTATAATAAGATCGGTGCGAAAAGATAGCTCGGCCGACGTTGAAACGTTAACACCCCGCCGCGATATTACCACGCGAACTTGGACAACTTTGAACAAACTTGCAAAATCTTTTTCCTTTTCTTTTCTCTCTCTCTCTTGCCTGGTTGTTTCGCCTGGTTTTCGAAACGCGACGAAGGTGGTATAATAAGGAAGGAGGAAAAACAGGGGAGGAGATGTTTCTGGCGCCGTGATGCGATTTCCTGGCGCGCGCTGTGCACGTGCGAAATATTCAGAAATACAGACGCGCGGGCAATGGGTTCATCGACTATGGCGTGTGGTGCCGCGGTCGAAACAAAATACCGCTAAAATTAATCCGGATCTTGGGTCACGTCTGCAACGAGTCTAGACGATCGGCTGGTTCGCGACACGCCTCGAAACCGGTCGAAAACATCGTACGTGTCTCCTTTCTCCTCTTCCGATCTCTTCGATTGTCAACGATGAGTCGACGTCTCGGGGGGAGAGAGAAAGGCGTTAGAAAAAAGCCATGGCCATTTCCTCGGGGATTTATCCGATCGGTTGAAATTGGGCCGGGCCGATCGAAGCGGTAATAATCGAACGATCGATTCGTGGCGAGCATTTGCCACGTCATGGCCACGTTCCTTCTCCGGAGATAATGCGGACATTGTTCGGTGTGAACGCAGCCTTCGACCAGATGGCACAATTTTCCGATTCGTCGTCGCTGTTTCCATACGCGAAACCTGCATACAAACGCACGTATACATGGAACGGGACGGAAGCACACACAAATATAGAAGAATGGAGAGAGAGAGAGAGAGAGAGAGAGTGGGCAATATAGCGGGATTAGGGTGTTACCACGAGTATTTGCGATTTCGATTTACGTTCGGGTAATTTGGTGTTTCGGTTTCGACCGTTTGAAAAATGGCCGTATCGGTCAGTGGGACACCACCACCACCACCACCACCACCACGCCCACCATCCCCGAAAATCATTGCTCCCGTAAGTAAATGAATCTACTCTTGGAGGAATCGGCCAACGATCCTCAGACAGCACGAAATTCCACACGAAAGATTCAAAAAAATTATAGAATTCGATGGAGGATCGATTCTATTAGAGGAAAATAACTCGTTTCGAATCTCGAACTCGTCGACAATAATTTTCGATCCGAGCCACTCGCGTTTACTCGATTCGATCGAAGTTTGGAAAATTCGGAGAATTTCGTTTCTTTCCGTTCGAGGAGGAAGAATTTTACTCGCAATACGTTTAATCCCATCGCTGGAAGCGGTTGCGTCATCTTGCGCGACGTTACGTCCATCTGGATATGCACTTTGATCTAGTTTTTTTTTTTCTTCCTACTCGATCGTTTAAAATCTTCGAATCGCGGAGCGATTGGATAATCGGACGATCGGGAAAATAAAAAACGCGGTCGATTGCCAAAAGATGAAACGTCGAACTTGACTCGAAGATTAATTTGTTTTCACGAAACGTACGATAGATAGAGAGCGATGCATGGTAAACGAATCTATTGTCTTAGGTCACGACTCGTAGTCGTGCACGAACGGCGCTTGCCTATGGAATAATCGTTATATTGTTGTTCGATGATAAACCCCTATATCGCCGCGTACGCGTCCTCGTCCTCGATAGTGTGTTTTTCCAAAACTCGAGACGCTCGTTTAAAGAGAACGATCGCGCATTTAAGAGATTGAACGCGATTCGTATCCTTTCTCGTCCGATTATCGACGAATCACGAAAAATACTGCTCGAACATCGGAGCGTAAGACCAAAATCGTTATTCGATACAAATTAACGCTTCCCCGACACGAGCCAATCGGATCGAAAGCAGAAACGAAAAGAAAAGAGACGATCGCGTTGGATGCTTCTTGAGAACGGTGAAATATATGGACGAATAATGGATGGAATCGAAGAAGAAGAAGAAGAAGAAGGAAATTGGGAATCGCGCGACGATGCGTACGTTGGTCTCGCGTACGTAGGGTCAGATCGATACCGGTGTATCGTGATAAACGACGTTGGCGAGGACGGAGAGGGAGAGACAGAGAGAGAGAGAATAGAGGCGTACGCGCGTGCGAGACGCTTTATCGGCTACGAGGATCTCTAATTATCTCGGTCGGAAGAGAGAGAGAGAGAGAGAGAGAGAGAGAGAGAAGAATCCGTTCGGGTAGAAGGCCGGTGTCC